CGGGCTTTATGTTTGGCATCGGACACACGTTCGGCCCATTCATTGAGAAACCCTACCTCACGGGTGACCAGTTTGCAGGGCTCACCCAAGACAACCGGAACGCGCTGTTGGCCAAAAACATATCGGTCCGTAAGGCCGACATCGCCGGTATTGATGACACCGATGTCCGCCGACATAAGCTTATGATACCGTACTTGATATGCGGCTCAATACATATACTGGGTAAATACAATAATTAACTAGTTATTAAAAAGTAAATAGTTAATAAAATTATTCTAGTTATTAAAAATTAACTAGTTAATAAAATTATTTATTTAAGTTTAAAAACAAATAAATAATTATTAACCAACATTACAGGTCCAATACTACTGGCGATAGTGTTTAAGGCCCGGCGCACAACACTGGACGCAAAGCTCAATAGCGTGACCAGCAGTGATACAAATGTGATACTAAATAATAACAACAACAATCAAAATAATAATAATAATAATAACGCACGGGGACACGGCCAGAAAAAACTACTAGAGCACATGCCAGAGCAAAAACTGACCATGATACTATTGGTGTCGGTGATGTTGGCCTTTTTCAGCGCCAGCGAGAGTATATTCTTCGCGTTCAGCGCCACATACTTCCAGTACATACCGTTGCGGCTGTCGGCCAGTAGTGCCGCCCAATTGGTCTCAATAATGGCGCTCACATTCACCATAAGCCGAGGTGTGGCCATCCTATTGGCTATGCGCACAACGCCCGAGAACATCATCGCGTCATTCCTGGTCATACTACTAGTCTCGATGGTCACCCTATATTTCTCGACAAACTCGCTGCCTATGCTGTGGTTTAGCATAATGTTAATGAGTTTTGGTTTCAGCCCGATATACGCCTCCATATTCTCGTTTATGGGCCGATACCTGGAGTTTACTAACCGTTTGGGCACGGTGCTTTTGCTCAGCGCCAATAGTTTAAACCTGGTGCTGCCCGGCCTACTGGGCACCTACATCGAAGTGATGCCAAATATATTTCTCACCACCTTGATCGTCTGTACAACTTTTAGCATAGTTTTATATTTATTTATTAATTATTTTATACTTAAATTTCGCAATCAATTGCCAAATAATATTGATTTACATAAATGCGATGATAAGTCTTATGAGAATATTTAGATAAAGTGTATATTATATTTTTTTATTAATAAATTTTATAATTGTTTTAAATTTGTTTTATTTTATTTTTAAAATTTGAAATAATAATTCTCTCTCTCTCTCTCTCACACACACACACACACATCTTATTTCTAATAATATTATTAATTTATAATTATTATTATTACTGCTATAATGCAATGGAATTTATTGTAAGCAATGTATAAATACAGTATAATAAACAAAGATATTCAGGAAACTATTAGAGACTATCAGAAATTTTCTATTTTATAGTACCTGATAAATATTTACTGTTTTATGCATTATAATAAATACAGACAAATACACTAGTATTTATCTTAAATTTTATTATGTATGAAATATTGCAATATTTAATTCTTATCATTATATTTGATACACATTATGTGTAATACATATTGTGTGTGAAATACATATCCAAGACATAACGGCCTACATGTCTGGTGAAATAAGTGACATTTTAAATAATATGATTAATATAATAATTTTTACTTAATTGTACTTAGTTTATATTTAACTAATCAAAAGAAATTTTACCATAAATTATAAACATAATTTAGTAATAAATAGTTAACTAATTATAAAAATTTATTCTAAATAATGGCTGAAAGTAATCAACTACCAACAAACCCAAGGTATGTGTTTATTTAATTGTTAATTATTAATAATAATTTATTATTAAACAAGATTATAAATATTATACCTACATGTACATGTGTTATAAGTGTTATTATAATTAAATTGTTTTAAATTATTAATCTAAATAGCTACGAAGAAAATCAATCAAGTAATAATTCAACTGCCAGTATACGCCCAGACACCTACATGAAAAAGGTAATTTATTATTACAGTTTTTTAAACAAAGACAATTAAGATAATAGTATAAGGTAATAAAATGATTTATTTAATGTATACAAGCATTAATTTTAAATATAATATAGAAAACGGACATCACGATACTTTTGTTGGGAGAGACAGGTGTGGGAAAGTCTACGTTCATTAACGCTATCGTTAATTACATGTCTTATGAGAGTATCGAAGCGGCCATTGATGGACAGCCCATATGTTTAATACCCGTAAGCTTTACGATGGCAGACGACAAAACTGGCGAACCTATTGTGGTAACATTTGGTGACCATGATCAAAATGAAAACACTAGAGACACGACAAAATCTGCCACACAATACCCCAAATGCTATAAATTTCAAAACACTGATATTGTGCTCAATATAATCGATACGCCGGGAATTGCGGACACGGATGGTGTGGAAAAGGATGAGCGAAATTTGCAAAATATTTGGGATTTTATTAGCAATTATCCGGAAATCAACGCATTTTGTGTGCTTTTAAAGCCAAACCAATCGAGAATAAGCGTTGCCTTCAAATACTGTTTGCTTCAATTGTTCACTCGTTTGAATAAAAGCGCCGCAAATAATATACTATTTCTATACACTAACGCCCGGAGCACCCATTATAGAGCCGGTGATACGATCGGTCCCTTAAAGATGATTTTGGGACAAATTAGGGAAAGTCATCCAAATGTTGACATCCCTTATAACGAGAAGACAACCTATTATTTTGATAACGAGTCGTTTCGATATCTCGTGGCATTAATTCCGCCAAATAATATACGGATTGACTCAAAGTTAAAAGCAAGTTATGTCGAAAGTTGGACCATGTAAGTAAATTTAATATTTAAGTGCTCTTGGCCCATAATAATTGAACTAGGCATAATATACTACTATTTAGGCACAGTTAAATATAATACATTTTGTTTAATTTTCCCACCATTTCTACCATACAGTTCCGTAGAGGAATGCAGGCGTTTATTTAATCAGATAATACAACTGACACCACACCAAGTGATGGACACTCTATCTCTCAATAACGCCAAACAAATCATAACACTGTTAACCAAACCGTTGGCCGACATCACAAAGAATATTGCGGATAACGTTAAACAATGCGAAAAACATAAGTCAGAAATCACACAGTTTTCAGGCACTATTCAAGCGCTGCAAAACCATCTCTACGTAAATAAGATCGAGATCAAATCCGTACGTTTGAACCTACCTAAGACAGTATGCAATCACAACCAGTGTTGTGATCAGGAAACTATCGAGGGTGTTATCCACATCAACTACAAAACACCATGCCACTCGCCATGCTACCTTAGTTTTGGCGATGGTAACGTTGGCAATAGCGCACTAACCCGGTGTAAAGCGTTCAACCGGCACACCACCGATGATCAGGATCCAAATAGGAAGCGCAAGGGCTTTTTTAGTGACCTTGCTCATACATTTAGGGACGCCACCCACGAGTCGGATAATTGCGAAAAGTGTGGCCACAGTTATACGCATCACTTGCACATGCTGTACGACACTAAACCCGAAGTGATCAAGGTGATTGACGACGAGGTTAATACACGCATACAAACAGCCAGATCATCGACTGAGGCCAAGCAGATACAGGTGCAACATCTGGACCAACAAATTGCCGAATTGAACGCAGAGGGCGAGACAATTGTCAACTCTATGGCAATGTTTGCTTGTTTTCTGGCCAACAATGCGTTGACACCAATAAACGACGCGTTCGAGGACTACGTCCGGCACCTCATAGCCAACGAACGGCACAACACGTCTGCCGGAGCCGACACTGGGGTCACAATTACACGACTCGAACGGGTGTTAGAGCTCTACGAGAGGGAGAAAGTAGTGATTAAGTCGGCGATGGAGGAGAACTCGACGGCCGGTTTCCAGGGGTCAGTCATTACGGCCGACCAGATAGATGAATGTGTTGGCAAATTGCGCATGCTCAAACATAAGGGCAAAGGCATTTGCGATATGTTGCAACTTCAACGCGATGCTAAGGCCCGCAATCACGCCGCTTACAATCAGGTTCATTTTAATTCTCTACCACAGACAGCATTTAATATGGCTACGTTTTTATTGGGTCAGAATCAGCCGGATTAAATTATCTTAAAATTTGCCAATTGATTTAAACAAATGCAATTATATAATAAATTATTATTAATGAGAATAAAATTTTGCTATATTGTTTAAATTGCCTAAATAAAATAATATTTTAAACATTATTATAGTTTATTAAAGTATTATTATGAGTTATACTGTATTATCACAACTATTTTTATATAATAACAATAAATAATTATTACAATTTAAATTAAATTAAATTAAAACTAAATAATGTTTAAATATTTAATTTATTTAATAATTTATCTAATTTACATTTATTAATAAATTGTTCACATGTTTCGCAATTATAGTCTTTATAATCGGATACATGTATTGTTTTATAAGTCATTTGCATTTCATTTAAACAATACTCAAAAACATTCGTGTAATTAGTTTCGCATAATTTAAGTGAGGAATTAATACTATAAACTTTATTATCACTGGATATGCAGATTACATGATTAGTATAAACATGCTTTGATTTTAAAGCATATAAACTGACCATGGTGATATTATTTGTAGATAATTTGACCAGTGATTTGTTAACTGTATTGCAATTATCATCATTTATATAATCGCCACAAAAATAAACAAATCCCTTATTTGTTAGGAAATAGGTTTGGCTGTCAAACGGACACATAGTTTCAATGTTATACAAACTGTCAATCATTTGTGGGTTATGTATATTAAATATATTATTCGGTATAATATGTATCAAATGTGTGTCAATTTCACCCCAAATGACTACCCGGCCATCAGTTGTGACTGCAAACGATGAAAACGCATTACAATAAACACCACTTATTTTACACTCAATCCCATTGTCAATGTATTGTAGTTTTATTGGTATTATTATTTCAGTCGAGTGCTGTTTAATGCAACCCAACTGTCCAAACCTATTACTACCCCAGCCGTAGGCACAGTCATCACCGGTGAGCACAAGTGTGTGATAATAACCGCAACTGATATCACGGATATTGGGATTATTAGGCAATGATATAACGTTTGGTTTTAAGTATTCAGCAATCTTTGGTCGGGCTAACCCGTTATGACCCCAACCATGTATACAGTTATTGTCATTAATAGATAACATAAAATATTCTCTGCAAATAAATTGTTGGATATTTTGTTGGTATAATTCGGGTATAATATGCGGTGTATTCACAGCCCTATTGTGCCCCAAACCAAGTGATCCCCATTTATTAGATCCCATTCCGTAAACCATATCATTATTAGTGGCAAACAATACATTATAGCCATCGCTGTCATCAAAAACGTGAAATAATTTAATGCAATTTATGTCTGAAATATTATCGATTGAATTATTTGTCGCATCAAATGCTAAACCATTGTCTGTCCGCTCAGTCTTTGTTGGCATTTGTCTCTCCGGACGACTGTTTCCCTCTTCGCCGACACTTCCCTTCGTTTCACTTTTATTTGTATTAACGGTAACTTTGGTTACATTCTGTTTAATTAAGTGCTATTAATAGCAAAAATAATTTGTATTACAAACATTTCAATCATGATTAATATTTATAACATTAATATTAGAAAGATAAATTATTGTTTACCTCGTTGTTATTAGGTGTGTCTGTAGAAACATTTGTCTTATTTAGTTTACAAATAAAAAACTCGTTGAAAAATGAATTGCTATTCAATTTCAGTAAATTAATTATTTTATTCACTTCTTTATTATTTGCTTTAATGACATTTCTGTCGACTGACCACTGGTTATATTCATCGAGCACTTGACCACTGGTCGGCCGATCATCGGCTATTGATAGAAACATTTGTTTAATTATTTCAAACAATTTGTTGAAATTGGCTGAAAACGAGGTAGATTTATATTTTTCCATTGGTTGTTCACTAATAAAATATTTATAAATTATGTTATACAATTATAACAATTATAATAAGAATTAAGTTAAAATATATTATACAAATGACATACATATTAAATAAATCAAACAAATGATAGGCAATCACTGCCAGGCTATAAATGTCGACTTTAATAGTATATCTGGACTGATATACCTCAGGTGCCATATATTGTGAAGTACCGACATTAGAGGTATGGCTCATAGTTGTCATGTCGTGGAAAGTGGCCGAACCAAAGTCACACAACCTTACAAACCGATTATCGCTATTATTTTGTGAGATCAACACATTTGATGGCTTGAGATCCCGATGGATAACCGGTGGACACAAATTGTGCAAATATTTCACACTTTCCAACAGTTCTTTGAATATTTCGCATGAAATGAAATATTCAAATATATTCATCACGTTTTCCTGTTGTCGCCCAAAAACGAGGTGTTTGTTATTGATAATTGACTGTAGATTTTGTGAGTAAAACTCCATTTGAATGTAGAGATGATTGTCTTCGCGCCAAGAGTTGCGGTAATTGACCACATATTCTGAGCGCAATTTAACTAAGTTTTGCACCTCTTTTACTATATCCTGTTGTTTGTGGTCGTCATAAGTGTCTGTAAACCACGCGTAATATAAATAATGTATTGACTTTATAAAACGTATTTAAAATACAATATAAAGTTGTTTTACAAATTTGTTTTAAAAATTCAAATTACCAAGGAACTTAACCATTTTGACCGCGTACACCTGATTTTCAATTGTATGCCTCACTCGATATACTTGACCGAACCCACCGCTCCCTATATCTGACAACTTTTCAAAATTATTGTCAAAAAAGTTTGATTTGGGGTTAGAAACTGCAAATATAATTCATAAAATAAAAAATTAATAAACATATTACATGAATAGATAATTTGTTATCTGTCATCATTATAGTTACCTGATGATTTGTTAGACGCCATTTGTATAATACCTTAATATTATGTTATGTTTAATACTAATTTTCAAGAGTTTTATTGATTTTAATTGTTGATATTTTTTAAAACTTGTAAATAATAATATACAATATTATGTTTTGTAATTTATTAATAAATTCAAACTACAATATTAACTATATTTAACGTTATTAACAAAAAATAGTTTACTGCATAATAAAAATGAAAAGTTTACTCCTAAATCCCATTAAAATGTAATCTATTTTATATGAATTGTGATAATCAGTAAAAACCATTGGAAACACGTTTTTGTTGACAAAGAATTTCATACAATATATGATAACAACTTGTATTTTATTATTTTATTGATTCACAAAACTTAGTTAAATTGCGCTCAGAATATGTGGTCAATTACCGCAACTCTTGGCGCGAAGACAATCATCTCTACATTCAAATGGAGTTTTACTCACAAAATC